ATGTTTGACATCTTCAATTATTACGGAATTTCGTATAGGATATAATTATTAATTATTATGAATACTTTGACCTTTTACAGTATTATATCTCGAAAAACCAAAATGTAATCTACTACTAAAAGACGTTAAAAAACGCAGGACTTTCGTTATCGTTTATCATTATGTCAAATCGACAGTATTTTGAATGTTCTAACTTGTTTTTAGCAGAAAAATATCTTCATGAAATATTTCATGAGATTGCAAAATATTTAAACATTACAAGTTTAGAAGAGCTTGAATTATGAAAGCCCAAGATCAAGAAATATATGTGAATATAATGAGGCAAAACGATATAGTACTGTGAATTTTAACTATCTAAAAAGTGTTTTCGTGTACCTAGCTTTATTTTATACTTGTTACATGCTCTATAATGTATGAAATGAATCTATGTCATCTAAGGAGACAAAAAGGCACCCTGAGTGACCACTTTGTTATTGCCCATTTCAAGCACTTTAGGAAATGGTTATTAAGTAGAAGCAAATAAATGTGGTTCATAAACCCTTATATTACCACACACTAAATCTTAAGAACATCGTTTAGTTTTTCTTCCATAAAGAGTGTGTGAACAGAAGTAAAATTTCGAATGTGAATAACTTAGTGTTTGCTCAGCATTGCTCCTTTATATTAGAAAAAGTATTTACTTTTACTTTATATAACCTTACATGTAGTAAATAATAGCTAGTTATAAGTATAACTAAATATTCTGGGAACTTTCTATCTACTTTTACTTTATATAACCTTACATGTAGTAAATAATAGCTAGTTATAAGTATAACTAAATATTCTGGGAACTTTCTATCTACTTTTACTTTATATAACCTTACATGTAGTAAATAATAGCTAGTTATAAATGTAACTAAATATTCTGGGAACTTTGTATCTACTTTTACTTTATATAACCTTACATGTAGTAAATAATAGCTAGTTATAAATGTAACTAAATATTCTGGGAACTTTGTATCTACTTTTACTTTATATAACCTTACATGTAGTAAATGGTAGCTAGTTATAAATGTAACTAAATATTCTGGGAACCTTTTTACACTCCCAGGTTATTACTGATGGAATATGGCTTCCATTGTTAATATTATACAATACATTAACTTCCTTGGTAGTTCTGTAAAGTGTTAAACGTTAAGAAAAGCTATTTCCTGTTTGTTCACTATTACATTCTCGTTTCTTACAGTGAATATATGTAACTATTTTTTTCTATAAATAATAATTACTTTCTTAGGATTAAAAACAACAATAGCACAAACGTGGCTTAGGTCCACAACTATTGAATTAGAAATTATTTTGACAAAGTCATTATTATATTGTAAAATAATGAAGGCCCATCTGAGTTAAATTTTAAAATTATTTTAAATCTGACATGAAATTATTTTATACTTTTCTCTTTTGAAATGTGTAATTTGGATTGTTTTCCATACAGGAATCGCCTTTGTCAACATTCGATTAACTTTACGTTTTATTCAGAAAACATTTCTCTAGTATGAAAATTGGTGAGTTAAGTATTATAATAATCATGAGGCCGGGTCATCTGTGACTATTATGAGATCTTCAGTTTCACTTGTGTAATTATTTCATTAAAAGTACATCAAATTCCGTTTCAAAATACTTAACGGTGCTTGTTTGTTACGAGGAAAAATAAGGCGTTATTTATTACGCGAATATTTGTTTGTTCGTCGTTAAGCACAAAGCAAAACAATGGGCTGTCTGTGCTGCGCTCACCAAGAGTATCGAAACCCGGTTTTTAGCGTTATAAGGCTTCAAACTTATCGCTGAGCCACTGGTACTAACTAAAATAAAACAACAACAATAAAAATAATTTGAAAATAAGATGCATAGTGCCTAAATAAATTTCTTTATACAAAACTGCACTGATACTCATTACTTATTAGTTCAAACCTGAATTTATGTGATTTACTTGAAAAGTTTAGCTTGTAGCTGGTATATTGATAACTTCAAATTTGGTAATAAAGCAGAGAAGTTACTTTATAAAGAGTTAAAACGTGTTAGTGCAACTTCAAAATCGCAAAGGTGACTTAAATGATTTTAATTAAAAAAACTGGGTCGCGTTGACTGGGAAATTACAACGATAACACACACATATTACAAAAGATAATAATATAATAAATGCAGGCTTTCCACTATCTCAAATGTCTTCCTCTCCTGCTAGCTAAGCGATAACTCTGAGGGCTTTAATTTTAAAATATCGGAGTTCAATACCAGAGCTGGGTAGAGCACAGATAGCTCATTTGGAAGCATTGTGTTTAACAATTCTTTGTGTAGATTTGCACGAGTATCCGAAGTAAGACTATTATCCAGGCATACTATTTTTTCTTAACCATTTAGTTAATATACAAGTTTTTTTCAAACTTTTTGCACATACAGTTCACGTGTTCTTAATATAGAATATAGTTCAGAAGAGCTATTAATTTCCTTGTGCCCGGTTACTCACGAACCTAGATCAGTTAATTAGAGTATCACTTTTATTTTCTTGTGGGAAAAATTCTTGCAACTTGGAAAATAAGTATAGAAACAGACAGTGATATTTTCCAATGGCAAGTCAGATGATGCCTCAGGGATACAATATTCCTTGTTTTACAGTGATGCATTGAAAGCGATAGTTATTCAAGTGTGTAGCGCCTGCATCCTGAGAAGAAGGAGATTGTTATTGTTATTAGTATATGCTCTTATGTTTTCTCAGTGTGGAATAACTTAACTTACAAAACTCAACATAGCTTAGAACAACTTAGTTTGGAATTCACCAAAATAATATTTTTAAAGTCACACCAGTGAATCTGAGAATATCACAAATCTTACTTAGGTATAGCGAATATATATCTAACCCTAAAGTACGTGGACGTTTTTCACTCAACTTGAAAATCTAAATACTATGGCTGAAGTTCATAATGATCGTATATGTAGATAACTCAGCACAACTTCATGTTCATTCAAGAAAAAGTTGCTGCCACAAAATTTTCATTTGTTAAATGTAATGAATAGAACTGAGATAAAATATCAATTAAATATTAAACATACATTTACAGTTCTCTGAGTTATTGGAAGTTTTGTTTACGTAATAAAGAATGTAACTTTGACGCATTAGTTGTGCGTCTAATGTTTTATCGTCACTCTCTCGTCATTTTTTCTATATTATGTCAGTCAGAAATCATTAGATTTACTGACAAATTAGATTTTAAACCAATAAAACAGATGATAGTTAGTTTCAAATGTTTATTTACATTTTTTATTCCCCCTTTTTGTTTCAGTGAACCACAAATACCTTAAAGTGAATTATTGCTCGAGGTTCACCTGAACAATAGTTAAAGTATCATATCCACATCAATACCATCTCTGTAGGAAACTGCATTAACAAACAATAGCCAAAATATCATACCTACATCAATATCATTTCCGTACAAAACTACACTACTAAACAATAGCCAAGTATCATATCCATATCAATAACATTTCTATACGAAACTACACTACCAAACAATAACCAAGTATCATATCCACATCAATACCATCTCTGTAGGAAACTGCATTAACAAACAATAGCCAAAATATCATACCTACATCAATATCATTTCCGTACAAAACTACACTACTAAACAATAGCCAAGTATCATATCCATATCAATACCATCTCTGTAGGAAACTGCATTAACAAACAATAGCCAAAATATCATACCTACATCAATATCATTTCCGTACAAAACTAC